AGACACTGACCTAAATTACCTCAGCCCAGACACTGACCTAAATTACCTCAACCCAGACACTGACCTAAATTACCTCAGCCCAGACACCTCAACCCAGACACTGACCTAAATTACCTCAGCCCAGACACTGACCTAAATTACCTCAGCCCAGACACTGACCTAAATTACCTCAGCCCAGACACTGACCTAAATTACCTCAACCCAGACACTGACCTAAATTACCTCAACCCAGACACCTCAACCCAGACACTGACCTAAATTACCTCAACCCAGACACTGACCTAAATTACCTCAGCCCAGACACTGACCTAAATTACCTCAGCCCAGACACCGACCTAAATTACCTCAGCCCAGACACTGACCTAAATTACCTCAGCCCAGACACTGACCTAAATTACCTCAGCCCAGACACCTCAACCCAGACACTGACCTAAATTACCTCAGCCCAGACACTGACCTAAATTACCTCAGCCCAGACACTGACCTAAATTACCTCAGCCCAGACACCGACCTAAATTACCTCAGCCCAGACACTGACCTAAATTACCTCAGCCCAGACACTGACCTAAATTACCTCAACCCAGACACTGACCTAAATTACCTCAGCCCAGACACTGACCTAAATTACCTCAGCCCAGACACCTCAACCCAGACACTGACCTAAATTACCTCAGCCCAGACACTGACCTAAATTACCTCAGCCCAGACACTGACCTAAATTACCTCAACCCAGACACTGACCTAAATTACCTCAGCCCAGACACCTCAGCCCAGACACTGACCTAAATTACCTCAACCCAGACACTGACCTAAATTACCTCAACCCAGACACTGACCTAAATTACCTCAGCCCAGACACCTCAGCCCAGACACTGACCTAAATTACCTCAACCCAGACACTGACCTAAATTACCTCAACCCAGACACTGACCTAAATTACCTCAACCCAGACACTGACCTAAATTACCTCAACCCAGACACTGACCTAAATTACCTCAACCCAGACACTGACCTAAATTACCTCAACCCAGACACTGACCTAAATTACCTCAGCCCAGACACCTCAACCCAGACACTGACCTAAATTACCTCAACCCAGACACTGACCTAAATTACCTCAACCCAGACACTGACCTAAATTACCTCAACCCAGACACCTCAACCCAGACACTGACCTAAATTACCTCAGCCCAGACACTGACCTAAATTACCTCAACCCAGACACTGACCTAAATTACCTCAGCCCAGACACCTCAACCCAGACACTGACCTAAATTACCTCAGCCCAGACACTGACCTAAATTACCTCAGCCCAGACACTGACCTAAATTACCTCAGCCCAGACACTGACCTAAATTACCTCAGCCCAGACACTGACCTAAATTACCTCAGCCCAGACACTGACCTAAATTACCTCAACCCAGACACTGACCTAAATTACCTCAGCCCAGACACCGACCTAAATTACCTCAGCCCAGACACTGACCTAAATTACCTCAGCCCAGACACTGACCTAAATTACCTCAGCCCAGACACCTCAACCCAGACACTGACCTAAATTACCTCAGCCCAGACACTGACCTAAATTACCTCAACCCAGACACCTCAACCCAGACACTGACCTAAATTACCTCAGCCCAGACACTGACCTAAATTACCTCAGCCCAGACACTGACCTAAATTACCTCAGCCCAGACACCGACCTAAATTACCTCAGCCCAGACACTGACCTAAATTACCTCAGCCCAGACACTGACCTAAATTACCTCAGCCCAGACACTGACCTAAATTACCTCAACCCAGACACTGACCTAAATTACCTCAGCCCAGACACTGACCTAAATTACCTCAACCCAGACACTGACCTAAATTACCTCAGCCCAGACACCTCAACCCAGACACTGACCTAAATTACCTCAGCCCAGACACTGACCTAAATTACCTCAACCCAGACACTGACCTAAATTACCTCAGCCCAGACACCTCAACCCAGACACTGACCTAAATTACCTCAGCCCAGACACTGACCTAAATTACCTCAACCCAGACACTGACCTAAATTACCTCAGCCCAGACACTGACCTAAATTACCTCAACCCAGACACTGACCTAAATTACCTCAGCCCAGACACCTCAACCCAGACACTGACCTAAATTACCTCAGCCCAGACACTGACCTAAATTACCTCAGCCCAGACACTGACCTAAATTACCTCAACCCAGACACTGACCTAAATTACCTCAACCCAGACACCTCAACCCAGACACTGACCTAAATTACCTCAACCCAGACACTGACCTAAATTACCTCAGCCCAGACACTGACCTAAATTACCTCAGCCCAGACACCTCAACCCAGACACTGACCTAAATTACCTCAACCCAGACACTGACCTAAATTACCTCAACCCAGACACTGACCTAAATTACCTCAGCCCAGACACTGACCTAAATTACCTCAGCCCAGACACTGACCTAAATTACCTCAGCCCAGACACTGACCTAAATTACCTCAGCCCAGACACTGACCTAAATTACCTCAGCCCAGACACTGACCTAAATTACCTCAACCCAGACACTGACCTAAATTACCTCAGCCCAGACACTGACCTAAATTACCTCAGCCCAGACACCTCAACCCAGACACTGACCTAAATTACCTCAGCCCAGACACTGACCTAAATTACCTCAGCCCAGACACCGACCTAAATTACCTCAACCCAGACACTGACCTAAATTACCTCAGCCCAGACACTGACCTAAATTACCTCAACCCAGACACCGACCTAAATTACCTCAGCCCAGACACTGACCTAAATTACCTCAGCCCAGACACTGACCTAAATTACCTCAGCCCAGACACTGACCTAAATTACCTCAACCCAGACACCTCAACCCAGACACTGACCTAAATTACCTCAACCCAGACACCGACCTAAATTACCTCAGCCCAGACACTGACCTAAATTACCTCAGCCCAGACACCTCAACCCAGACACTGACCTAAATTTCCTCAGCCCAGACACTGACCTAAATTACCTCAGCCCAGACACCGACCTAAATTACCTCAGCCCAGACACTGACCTAAATTACCTCAACCCAGACACTGACCTAAATTACCTCAGCCCAGACACCTCAACCCAGACACTGACCTAAATTACCTCAGCCCAGACACCGACCTAAATTACCTCAGCCCAGACACCGACCTAAATTACCTCAGCCCACACACTGACCTAAATTACCTCAGCCCAGACACCGACCTAAATTACCTCAGCCCAGACACTGACCTAAATTACCTCAGCCCAGACACTGACCTAAATTACCTCAGCCCAGACACTGACCTAAATTACCTCAACCCAGACACTGACCTAAATTACCTCAGCCCAGACACCTCAACCCAGACACTGACCTAAATTACCTCAGCCCAGACACTGACCTAAATTACCTCAGCCCAGACACTGACCTAAATTACCTCAGCCCAGACACTGACCTAAATTACCTCAGCCCAGACACCTCAACCCAGACACTGACCTAAATTACCTCAGCCCAGACACCGACCTAAATTACCTCAGCCCAGACACTGACCTAAATTACCTCAGCCCAGACACTGACCTAAATTACCTCAGCCCAGACACTGACCTAAATTACCTCAACCCAGACACTGACCTTAATTACCTCAGCCCAGACACCTCAACCCAGACACTGACCTAAATTACCTCAGCCCAGACACTGACCTAAATTACCTCAGCCCAGACACTGACCTAAATTACCTCAGCCCAGACACTGACCTTAATTACCTCAGCCCAGACACCTCAACCCAGACACTGACCTAAATTACCTCAGCCCAGACACTGACCTAAATTACCTCAGCCCAGACACTGACCTAAATTACCTCAGCCCAGACACTGACCTAAATTACCTCAGCCCAGACACCTCAACCCAGACACCGACCTAAATTACCTCAGCCCAGACACTGACCTAAATTACCTCAGCCCAGACACTGACCTAAATTACCTCAGCCCAGACACCGACCTAAATTACCTCAGCCCAGACACTGACCTAAATTACCTCAGCCCAGACACCGACCTAAATTACCTCAGCCCAGACACCGACCTAAATTACCTCAGCCCAGACACTGACCTAAATTACCTCAGCCCAGACACCGACCTAAATTACCTCAGCCCAGACACCGACCTAAATTACCTCAGCCCAGACACTGACCTAAATTACCTCAACCCAGACACTGACCTAAATTACCTCAGCCCAGACACCTCAACCCAGACACTGACCTAAATTACCTCAACCCAGACACTGACCTAAATTACCTCAGCCCAGACACCGACCTAAATTACCTCAGCCCAGACACTGACCTAAATTACCTCAACGCAGACACTGACCTAAATTACCTCAGCCCAGACACCGACCTAAATTACCTCAACCCAGACACTGACCTAAATTACCTCAGCCCAGACACTGACCTAAATTACCTCAGCCCAGACACCGACCTAAATTACCTCAGCCCAGACACCGACCTAAATTACCTCAGCCCAGACACTGACCTAAATTACCTCAGCCCAGACACCGACCTAAATTACCTCAGCCCAGACACTGACCTAAATTACCTCAGCCCAGACACTGACCTAAATTACCTCAGCCCAGACACCGACCTAAATTACCTCAGCCCAGACACTGACCTAAATTACCTCAACCCAGACACTGACCTAAATTACCTCAACCCAGACACCTCAACCCAGACACTGACCTAAATTACCTCAGCCCAGACACTGACCTAAATTACCTCAGCCCAGACACTGACCTAAATTACCTCAGCCCAGACACTGACCTAAATTACCTCAGCCCAGACACCGACCTAAATTACCTCAACCCAGACACTGACCTAAATTACCTTGTCCTTGAGGATGTATCTCGACCTTCTATCACTTGTATATTTCTGCTCATATGCAATTGATTTGATTACCCTTATTTCTCATCTATTTCAGAGTCAATATAAGTTTGTATGTGAAGCAATTTTACGAGTGTATAATGGTAAGCAGTTGTATTTATTTTTTTTTCTGATCAATTCACTTTGTAAAGTATTGCATCCAATTTGATGTAGAACCCTGTGAAAATAGTCTGGAATATTCAATTAATTAAATATTTTTAATGATGTCTTATTAAAAAGTATGTGGTGCCAATTTATGTTTGTCTTACGGAATTGAAACTTCAGGTTAAAATTAATGCTTCATTTAAATAAATAGAGTAGGCTTGAAAAGTCTATGTAATCATACTATACATTTTTTTTTTAAAAATATATTGCTAGCAGTAAAATAAAAGTTTTTAAAAATTAAAACTGTTTGGGAACATTGATTAAACTCTATATTTTTGTATTGAATATGAGCCATTAAAAAGCCATTTATAATTATTTTATCAATTCAAATATATATTTTTAAACAAAACGCCCTCAGTCCCTCCTTGAAGTCAACTTGAGTGGCCATGGAGAGAAAATCAGAACATTTGTTTTCCATGATAAAATACACAATAGTGGCCAATGGGGTATGGCCTAGTAGTTTATTTATATGAAATAATATAAAATACCCTTACGCCACAACACCCTGACTAAACTAATCCAAATTAAAATTAAAGTGTTTGCTAAATTACAATTATATTAATCGTTATTATTTGTTTGAATATTTTTAGCTGTAATAAAACCGGTATTCACTTTTTACTTACTTTATAAATGTTATAAAATATTCAAATTTGGTTGAAAAATATGCTTTCTGGCAACAACCATTTGCTACCAAGCCTATTGTAGCCTTTAATGCAAAAAAAAATCTTTAAATTTTATGCATTTGCAACTTTTTATATGAATTTTTTTTTTTTCAAGTTTAAGAATTTTTTTTGTTAAGTATTTTCTTGCGGCAGCGATGGTGGCACAAATTTGTATCAATGGCAACAATAAAGATAGAAGGCGTCTCCTCAAACTTGTTATTATCCATTAAGTCTAGATAATAGTTGGTTCATAGTGAAATATAATATTTTAGCAAATTCTAATCTGTACGTGACACTAAACACATTCAAGATGTAATCTGTACGTGACACTAAACACATTCAAGATGTAATCTTTACCTGATACTAAACACATTCAAGATGTAATCTGTACGTGACACTAAACACATTCAAGATGTAATCTGTACGTGACACTAAACACATTCAAGATGTAATCTGTACATGACACTAAACACATTCAAGATGTAATCTGTACGTGACACTAAACACATTCAAGATGTAATCTTTACTGTTTACAACTTACAGGGCAATATTATGTTGTGGTATCCTGGGTTATGTAATTTATAGATGGTGGGTTATGTAATGTATAAATTGTGTGTTATGTTATGTATAGGTGGTGGGTTATGTAATGTATAGATGGTGTGTTATGTTATGTATAGCTTGTGTGTTATGTTATGTATAGATGGTGGGTTATGTAATGTATAGATGGTGTGTTATGTTATGTAAAAACTTCAAGTGATGTCATACTATGTAAAGATATGTGATGTCAAGTTAGACAAACATGTCATGTCTTATTTTCTTTTGTTCACAGAAGGTCTAGTGAAACCCCATGAAGACTTTAGAAGATGAGATCCTGTCATAGATTGTTCAAAGGTCACAGTCTTAGCTGTATTTAAAGGTCACAGTCTTAGCTGTATTTAACTATTTAACCACCAACCAGTACACAGTGCCTGGCCCACCAACCAGTACACATTGCCTGGCCCACCAACCAGTACACATTGCCTGGCCCACCAACTAGTACACATTGCCTGGCCCACCAACCAGTACACATTGCCTGGCCCACCAACCAGTACACATTGCCTGGCCCACCAACCAGTACACATTGCCTGGCCCACCAACTACTAAACACATACACTGGCCCACCAACCAGTACACATTGCCTGGCCCACCAACCAGTACACATTGCCTGGCCCACCAACTACTAAACACATACACTGGCCCACCAACCAGTACACATTGCCTGGCCCACCAACCAGTACACATTGCCTGGCCCACCAACCAGTACACATTGCCTGGCCCACCAACCAGTACACATTGCCTGGCCCACCAACCAGTACACATTGCCTGGCCCACCAACCAGTACACATTGCCTGGCCCACCAACCAGTACACATTGCCTGGCCCACCAACCAGTACACATTGCCTGGCCCACCAACCAGTACACATTGCCTGGCCCACCAACCAGTACACATTGCCTGGCCCACCAACCAGTACACATTGCCTGGCCCACCAACCAGTACACATTGCCTGGCCCACCAACCAGTACACATTGCCTGGCCCACCAACCAGTACACATTGCCTGGCCCACCAACCAGTACACATTGCCTGGCCCACCAACCAGTACACATTGCCTGGCCCACCAACCAGTACACATTGCCTGGCCCACCAACCAGTACACTGGCAGACCTAAAAGAAATAATTTATTTGGCTATTTTAACTTCATAATTTTGGCCAGTAAGTTATAATGTGGATTTATTTTAAAACCCTAACCCTTGGCATAACTGTTGACCTGGATTCAGCATATAGTTGTAAATTTTGATGGTATGATGGAAACATATTGCTGTTATGGTTGGTATTGCTTGGATACAAAAAACAAAACGTGATCGGTGAAACATACTAGAGGTAGACATAAATTTCTCTTGGGCCAGTGTTGTACATTTTTAAATAGGATGATGTATGAAATGTTATATATATATATATATATATATATATATATATATATATATATATATATATATATATATATATATATATATATGAATGTCTATATAAATACATATTTGTGTGTGTATATATTTATATAAATATATCTGTATATGTAGATAGATATTTATACACATACATATATATATATATATATATATATATATATATATATATATATATATATATATATATATATATATATATGTATGTATGTATGTATACACACACATTTAATGACATTTTATTTAAGTATTGGACTATATATTTGTTAACTTATTGAATTGTGAGATAAAATGTAGTAAAAATGTAAAAATATAACATACTGGATTTTATTTTCCACAATGTTTGCATAACCAGATGTTTACCCAGGTACATAGGCAGTTATTGGCACATGCTAGCCTAAGTGTGGCACATGTGAATCTATTTGAAACGGGTGCTATCTAACATAGCCAGTGCTATCTAACATAGCCAGTGCTATCAAACATAGCCAGTGCTACCTAACATAGCCAGTGCTATCTAACATAGCCAGTGTTGTACTAGACTAGCATAAGTAGCCAGATCAGTTTGTAATACATTTTTAGGTTGGTTTTTTGTTGTTTTTTTTTTTGTTTTTTTTGCTGTATTTCTTAGAGCTAGGTTCTTTATTTATTTATGGATAGATTTCTTATTCATTAAAGCTAGGTCCCTTATTTATTATGGCTAGATTTCTAATTCATTAGAGCTAGGTTGGTTCAATCAAACTAAACCTTTGAATGAGATGCTGGAAAAGAAAACTTTTTGTGTTAACTACTGTTGGATGATTCTATTGTTATTGTACAGCTCTTTTAGAGCAAGGTCAAGGATGGAATCTCAAATTAATGCTTGTGTTGTTAGCTTAGTGAAAGAAATGCACTCTTTAAGATACAACTGGTGTGAAACTACTAATCTAAATGTGTATAAATGATGTGCTTTTATGTTTCCATTTGGTTCTATGTACTGGAACATGCTTATTGCTGTACAAACCTTTCAGAATGTTTTTATATGTAATAGGTCAAGATTTATATATATATTTGAATAGGTCAAGATTTATATATATATATGAATAGGTCAAGATTTATATATATATTTGATTGACATTGATCTTTTAAAAGTGACATTTTTTAATTTTATATTATTATGTTATCATCTTTTTAAAAAATGCTGTTCTTTGATACCATCAACCTATGTGTATGTGTATGCTTGATATTTGCATAGAATTCATTGTCTGTAGCTCTACTTGTTTGATTCCGTTTTGATACACAATGTACATGTTGTTAGGATTTATTTGCATATGATGTACATGATGCTATGATTCGTCTACTTATGATTTTTAAAGATTCTACAAGGTCCTTGTACCATGTTTACTTGCATCATTGTGAAGCAAACTGTGTCTAATGAACTGGAACGTGCTCCATAGAAAGATGTAACTGTATAATATTGAAACTAATTTATATTTGCTAAACAATGTATTCTTACATGGAATTGAATGCATTTTACAATAAGTATGATTGATACATGTCAGATGTTTACTACTTTACTCCCCATAACCACCCCTCTCCCCATAACCACCCCTCTCCCCATAACCGCCCCTCTCCCCATAACCTACTCACACTCCCTGACAGTCCCACTCCCTATGACCACCCCACATTCCCTGTTTGTCCAATTCCTTTCCCCCCCCCCCCCTCCCTCTTAACCCCCTCACCAGAGTTTCTTCCAAGCACAACATCTACCGCCCCCTAATGAAATAGAATTTATATAGAAAATATATACTTTTACCAGTGTCTGTCGTCCGTCCCCCACCCCCGGATAAAAAGTCTGGAAGAAGCACTGCTCCTCACAGCCCCATAACCGCCCCACCCCATGAATGCTACTCCAAGGATATAAATAATTATTCACTTAACTTTATTATGCGCTGTCATTGTGGACTTGCACATTTTCTCATTCCTTCACACAATTTGGGATCATTTTCTCAATCAATAAATTCATTATAAACATTGGAGTATCTTTTTATTTATACATATCTTGTGATTTTGCGTTCTGTTTTGGTGAGTCCTTGTTAGCAAATAAAATCTATTGTGTTGTTGAAGTTTCTCAGTGAAGAAAATATGTTTCTGTTTTTATTTACGCATTGTAATTAACACCAATTATTTACTCTAGAATCTAGTAGGCCTACTAAGTAATTTTTCCTGATGTGAAGCCAGTTTTAGATCTAGTTATTAAAAACTTAAGATTTAGTGAGAAAGTCTAATATTAAATATAAAATTATTGTAGGCCCTGGAGGTAAATGTCAATAACGGGGGGGGGGGGGGTAATTAGTAATCTCTAGAGCTAGGAGTAAGAGACAATTTTAGTCAAAGAATTGTTCCTTCTAACAATTTAGATCAGTATCTAGATCAAGATTTGCCAAATATGGAATTCCAGCATCATTTTTAAACCTGGAAGAAACGTGTTTGAAGTGTTTGTGTCTTCTAATTTGTGACAAAGCAATGAACAATGTTTGTTCAATTGTCTTTATTTTTTATTATTTTTTTTTGTATATTTAGAACACAGAAGACACTTCTTGTAATTTACTAGGTTTGTAGTTGATAGTATGTCTTATTTTTTATTTACTGATTTAAGCAAGGGTGAAGTTTAGATGACCTGTTTTTGTGACCTCAGCGTATGAAGAGATTGTGTTGTCTGACCCATGCTCAGCCGAAATCGGTATTATTAAAAGACAAAAACGTCTGAGGTGTGACGTCTTTTTGAATTTGGTGTCTATTTTTGGTGTGACGATAAGTGACAGACGTGATGGTTTTTTTTATGGATGACCCCCCCCCCCCCCCCCCAAAACCCAGTTATCCAAAGGATTACGGGTAGTCTAGTAGACTATTGAAAAATTAAGACTTTTTCAATGCTGGTGTACAAATTAAAATCTGACAATTAAAAATGTTAATTTTAAAACTATAGATCGTGTAGCAAACAATAGGTGAGGTTATAAGAAATTAAAGTAATAATCAAACAAGTGGGTTTTCATTTTTGAATGATGAGATTAGAACCGCTAAATAGCCCATGCTATAATCTTTTCGGCTGAAGCCATGCAAAGCTGCCAATAGCTGCAAAATGTGTTCAATGAGGCGGGTGGTGTGATAGTTCTCCATTACAAGAAACATCTCACACCTGTTTAATAGAGCAGTAAAACTTTCATGAGCATCTTAACAACAACAAATAAACCACACTAACCTCTAGAAATTAACAAACTACTACTAGTACTACACACTGATAATAACTCAAGTTAAGCTATATCTAGATCTTTCTTTTATATAGCACGTTACTGTTAATATATTAGTTTAGTGTGTAATTGGTGAACGGAAAAAACACAGAAAAAGGTCACAGTATTTGTTATGGAACAAAGACACAAAGGAAAATTTTATTGTAAAAACAGAGGGGTCCGTAATTTGTTACGGTGTGGGGTCCGTAATTTGTTACGGTGTGGGATCCGTAATTTGTTACGGTGTGGGTTGAGGGGGGGGGGGGGGGTTCAGATGGTGCGACGTCACACTTTTGCATTATAAAAAAGAAATGTTAGAAAACGAATTTTATACGTTGTAATAGATTGAGATAATTGTATTGGTATTATATTTATATTGCTATCTTGAGTGATGTCCCTTACTTGTGTCTCTCGTCACTTCCGTCTTGCCGGTTAACAATAAAAGCTGTTTACATGTTCATGGCTTCTGTCTCCGTTGTGTAATGCTTAATCTATCTCATTGGCGACGAAGGATAAACATCTACTAGAAAGAGCACCTACTTACGCAAAAAAGAGGTTTGCTAGAGCTTATTAGCTAATTATTTCTAGAATTATGGCGCTGTATGGCCAAATAAAAGAATTTGATGCGAATGATGAAATCATTCAAGATTACCTAGAGAGGTTAAGCTTTTACCTAGAAGCTAACGACGTGACGATAGAAGCCAAAAAGAGAGCTGTTTTGTTAACAGTCATAGGGCCTCAACAATTTAGGCTACTAAAGGACTTATGCGCACCAGCTAGTCTAATTACCAAGAGCTTTAACGAGCTGAGCAAAGTGCTAACAGACCACCATGCGCCTGTACCATCAAAGTTTCTATGTCGAGCTAGATTTGACAGTAGGACTCGTCAGCCAAACGAGTCAATATCAGAATATGTTGCTGCTTTACGTCATCTAAGTGAATTTTGTGAATTCGGAGACACGCTGTCTGACAGATTATGTGAAAGGTTTGTGACAGGTGTAAACAGCCCTGATATTCAAAGAAGGTTGTTGCTCGAGTCAGATCTAACATTAGAAAAAGCAATACAACTTGCAACTTCATTCCAGCAGTCATCAGATGCGGCGAAATCTCTAACGCCTTCAGGGATCCATGCAGTAAACAGCAGGTTAGTCAATAAACATCAACCCCATCAGAGCATTCCAACTTATGCTAAACAGCCTGCTCGTTCAAATCCTAGATCTAAATCTAGTAATAATTATCAAAAATGTCATCGATGCAAAGGTCCCCATGCATCTCATCGATGCAAGTTCAAGTCTGCAACTTGTTATAAGTGCAGTAAGCAAGGTCA